TGCTGAAGAGACCTATGCGAGATGAAAACTGCAGTTCACTCCAGCCTGGATGAGATATCATTTTGGAAAACAAGGCTATGCGAAATTCAATGCAAACTCAATGTCTACTCATCTGATTGTGGGAAAATTCAACTGACATTCTTTCATCACTTTAAAGGAAATAAGGTGAATACATTACATACAACTGATTAACTGGAAGTCTAGAAAACCTACTTACTTATTGCATCATCTGAAGCGAATTAACATGGTGCCTAGCAGCTGCTGGTAGTTTCAAAGCATACCTACTCGTTACATGCTGCATGGCAGCAAATTTTGCCCTTTTGTTGACCAACTTTTGACACTCCTTCCAGACAGGCGTAAAAGTAAAATGGAGCCAAGAACAGCCATGCTCGTGTTTGTCTTCGAGGCCAAATCAGGCCAAAGGACATTTGTGCAAAAATGGAATTTATAGAATGACTCGAATGTAGCCTCACCCGACGCGACTGTTCTCCTCGGAATGGCGGCTCGTGTCGACTGTCGGATTCGTCGAGCCGTTGACTGTTTGACTTGTTTGCATGTGGTACCGCTTCTGGCGCAACCAGTGCTAGACCATGCCTTAATGGTGTCCCTATTTCTCGACGCCGACTCGCAGGCAACAGTTGATGCACAGCTCACCATCGGCTGTTTCCACGACCCAAACTCTTCCAGCCAAGTTGGGTCCGGACCTGTAGGCCAGCCAGTCACTCTCGAGATAGATCCTGAATTTACCGTCACCTCATGGTCTGCCGGTGGAGGCGATGTCAGAGACAACAAAGCAGGATTCACGAGTTCACGGAACTTAATGCTGTCGAGACCACTTAAATTTGGAATGCTCTCAGGTTGGACGGTCAGACGACAGGTGGTCGTCCCAGTTGGTTGACTGCGCGTAGGGGAAATACGAATATAAGTAGGGCAAAAAGTAGCATGAAAATGAGGATATCAACAATTAATTGAATAAAATATCAAACAATTTAGTGGTTTAGGGCAATCGTGCAGTTTGAGCTGAGCATGAATTGAAGCAGAGGTTCGATTTTGCTATCGCATTTCCCTACAACATTTAGGCCCAAAAAAGGTTTATAATCCGACTCGAGCAGAAGTGAACAACGCAAGCAAGAAGAAAGCACAAATTCTGATGGCTGAGAGGTCGACATTTTATCTTCTAAACGTTCTTGGTCCGACTCCTGTTGCGATGTTAATAGCACGCAAGCTGGGCAGAAACTACAATAAAGAGTGAGCTCAACTTTTGCTCACTTTTATCACCGCCAACATCACATCAGACAATTGAGTCTTAAAAGGGATGGACGGAGTAGAGTCTCCAGGTTCTGAGAGATCAATCCCAAGAGCCAATAGATGCAGAAAGAAGCCGTGGGTCGTCTCTAAGTTTATGTTGTACCTTACACTTTTTTGTTAAAAGTCCCATTAAGTGGATATCGATGCGCTATACGATGTAAACATAATTACGACTGGTCACCTGACTTTTATTAGCATTTGGGGAGTCAGTTGCCATGTTGCAGGGAAGGTAGACTCTCTGAAGTCTGAATAAATCGACCAAATCCACCCTTGGTATGCCGACAAAAAAGTTGTAGCAAAATGTTACTGAAGAGCAGACAAAAGAGGATATCACCAGTATTTTAGGCAATTTTGGCCCAAAGTAAAAGAGACCAAATCCTCATCGAAAAGATGCTAAGCCAGCTGCTTTTTGAGGCTACACTGGCCAGAAAGCGAATTCTTTCAACTTGTCCACGGCTGGTTCGCAGATTTCGCCTCAATCGTCATGTCTATCCACCGTGACACTACAACTGTCCACTGTCAAGTATTTTTTTTAACAAACCGTCTTCATTTTGTGTCCATTTGGCTTTAGAGACCATCCTAAAACTTTTCCGCGTGTGATTAAACTTAAAAATGGCATGGAGGCGTTTCCCATACAAAGATCTGGAGGATGAGAACCACTTCGTGTATCCTATTCTCGGGAATGATCTCTTGGAAGGATTAGTGATTACTTAGTTTCCCACAATGATTTGAGTAGGTCTCACCATGCTATTCCACTTCATCTAGGCTTGCCTCAGAAAAAGACTTTTTCATTAAGGCTGTATTAGATTGTCAATCTCGTCTTGAGCGCATCAGCACCTACAACAGGATTCGGAACAGAGTCGTGGGCATCATGGCGAAACACACGAGCACACGGGGAGATGTGAATTTCAAGTTAAACCAGGCTTGCCTAGATTACATCTACAGTAGGACTGTCATTGTAACATACATTTATTTATAAGATGTAATTAGACAATATGGTGTCAAGGTGTGAAGGAACAGAAGATGAATTTTCACACAATGCTATGAATAGAACTTATGTTTACATTGAATTTCACATAACCTCGATTCCCAAAAGGTTACTCTCATCTAGGGCTGACTACAGCTTCGATCTCGCCTATGCTTCATCAACACCCCTAACGGTACTCGAACCATGACATTTCAGCGTATAATCTCTACACGTTGGCAACTAGGCCAAATTACCACGAGTGACTTTGGGTCACAGGGCAGATGTGGATTTCAAGAAAGGCCAGTCATTTTCCCATCTCACATTTTACTGTGGGATTTTCGATGAAGTAAAGTCGACTAAATTACTTATTTATCGTTGAAAAGTAACTTTTCGAGACTAGTTTTAGATAATGTATCTAAGACGTATTCGGCCTATTTTGTAAAGTCGATGAAGGGTTTATACATCTCGGATATATGTGATCTACTGGAAGTCCGAAAAACATACTGATAAAACGAGAGATAAGTAATGTAGTCGAATGATATATCAAATACAACTTTAATTCATTGACAACCACACCGTAGAATGTGCGATGGGAAAATGCCTGGTCCTCCTTAAAATTCACATCTTTCCTGTGACTCAAAGGCACTCGTAGCAATGTTCGAAACTGTAGACCACCTCAACCTGGATGAGAATACCTTTAGGAAGAAGGACTACGTGAAATGTAATGGTAAACTAATGCCTACTCATATTATTGTGTGAGAATTCAACTATAAGTCCTTTAATCACCTTATCGAAATATGATGAATACAGCTCTTATATCCGATCTACTAGTAGTCTGGAAAACCTACTTATAAATGAAAAGCAATTATTTTTCAATAAATTCAACTCAGTCACTTATTTTCACTTATTTTCAGTGTAAGCTTTGAAACTGCCAAGCATTCTTGCATTAAAATTAGTGTTAAATTGAAAATAAACATTTTTGTTTTTAGTCAAACTTTCAATCATTGTTCAGCAACAGTCACCAACGTAAGTAGGCAATCTTGTAATATTTTTCGTATTTGAGTGAAGTCTCGAGACTACCAGTAAATCACCCTATTTCGCTTAAGATGATGAATTTCCCAGTGGAAGTAAAATTTTCCCACAATGATATGAATAGCGCTGACGTAATAAACCATATTTTTTCCAAAATCCAGTTATACTTTGTAAAAGCCGTAATTCAAGCTTAGAAATGAGCAACACTCACCAATAGGCGACACCCTTTTGGCAAGTATTGCTTGTTCACCGCAAAGCTCACATTATTCTGGCGATCCGAGTCCTTATCAGTCTGAAATAGGCAACAATCGGACGATGTTTTAGTCAATTTACCAACAGCCCTGACATGTATTTCTAACAGAGCTGCGATGACGACGTGGCAATCACGATATTTTTAACAAAGCAGAGACCAGCACTTAGTTCTGTAGCTCTGGTCAAGCCAGGTTAATTGGGAGTTGTAAATAACTTCTTCCAATCTTTGCAGGAACCCTGATTGGGACTAGACCAGTCGACAAACCATCAAGTTGTCGACTTTTACCGTGATTTAGTTGGGAATTGCATTTCAATTGCAGAATACTTAAACACATTTCCCCTGATGCCATAGGTGAACATAGTTTGTATCAAAATAGAGATAGAGCCAATGCCATAGCTACTTGGAGGGTCAAGAATGTCATTGGTCACCCCTGGCAGTTCTGCGAAAAAAGTGCTCTACCATGGCAGTGGCATACATTAGATGCTATTTACTCGGTGGCATAAAGAATGTGTATAAGGCCTAGTTTCACTGACAATCATCCTATTTGCATCTGAAATCTAGGCAAGAAATAAATATATTTTCTCTTTAAGCAAAAATGTGACTTTAACCTGAAAAATGGCTATTTTCGAAGCGAAACTATCATGGCATTTCCCAGTCATATGGATAACTAAATTTTCCAACAACAATGCAAAGCTATTATGTATATTCTTTTAGAAGAAGCAAGCTGCCACAAGCAAAAATTCCAGTTTTCACAAATATATCGGAATGTAATTTAATATGAATAATTATCGTTTAACTTGGTACATATTCTAGAAGCCATTCAAGAAAAGGATTTAAAAAAGAGTAAGAATATGAAGAGCTTATTATTGGAAAAGTTTGAGGCAAGAAATAATACCAATTTATGGAAACTCAGCAGAATGAAACAGTTATGGAGGAAACATGAAATTCCACATTCTTCAATCTCATTTCTATAAGAGCCGCTCAACTTTTCCTTCTTTAAATTGCCGAAGAAGATCTTATTGCTCCTGGAATTTTTATGTTAAATACTTCAGCCAATATTGACGTATTTAGCTCTTGGCCTTGGACCATTAGCAATACCCTCTTCATACTAATCCACCTTACACATGGCAAAAAATAATGGTGAATTTGCTGGTTGGTAGTGTTTAGGTCCTGGCTCTAGGACCGTTTGGAAGTCTCTAGCA